AAAAAAAAAAAAACAGGATAGCCAAAACAATCTTATACAATAAAAATACTTCTGGAGGCATTACCATCCCTGACTTCAAACTCTATTACAGAGCTACAGTAATGAAAACAGCTTGGTGTTGGCATAAAAACAGAGATATTGAACAATGGAATAGAATCTAAAACCCAGATATTAATCCACAAACCTATGAACACCTGATTTTCGACAAAGGAGCTAAAATCATACAATGGAAGAAAGAAAACATCTTTAACAATTTTTGTTGGCATAATTGGATGTCAACCTGTAGAAGAATGAAAATAGACCCATGTTTATCACCATGCACAAAATTCAAGTCCAAATGGTTTAAAGACCTCAATATAAATCTGACCACACTTAACCTGATAGAAGAGAAAGTGGGAAGTAGTCTGCAACACATGGGCACAGGAGACCACTTCGTACGTATAACCCCAACAGCACAGACAATAAGAGCAACAATGAATACATGGGCCCTCCTGAAACTGAGAAGCTTCTGTAACGTAAAGGACACTGTCATTAAGTCAAAAAGGCAACCTACTGACTGGGAGAAGATCTTCACCAACCCCACATCAGACAAAGGTCTGATCTCCAAAATATAAAAAGAACTCAAGAAACTAGACATTAAAACTCTAATTAACCCAATTAAAAATGGGGTATTGAACTGAACAGAGAATTCTCAACAGAAGTTTAAATGGCCAAAAGACATTTAAGGTCATGCTCAACCTTGTTAGTGATCAGGGAAATGATTATCAAAACAACTTTGAGATACCATTGTTTTCTTTTAATTCTGTGATGAAACTCATTGAAATTTTTAAAGGAATCAAGTCTGGTCTGTAGTATCTCTTCAACACACAGTACTGGCAGAACCAGGTATTTATGAACTTAGATCCATACCACTCACCCTGTACAAAAAAGCATCAATTAAAATGGATCATTTTAACTTAAATGATTTTAATTTAAAGGGATATAGAACCCCAAATATTAGTGCTTCCAGAAGAAAATATAGGGAATGCACTTGAAGTTATAGGTATGGGCAATAACTTTCTGAATAAGACTTCAATAGCACAGAAAACATCCCTAAGCACCAACAAATGAGACTAGATGAGATTAAAGTGTTTCTGTATAGTAAGGAGATGATTATCAATTATTTTACTAGCTACAACTCAGAAATGAAACTGATATCCAGAACACATAAGAACAGCAAAAATCAAACACCTAAATCACAAAACTGCTGTTTAATATGTGGGCTGATGAACAGATAGTCCTGAAAATATGAATTTTAAATGTTCAACATCCTTTACCATGAGGCAAGTATAAATGAAAATCTCAGACCTTCCATTTCATCCCAATGAATTTGGCTATGACCAGAACCACAAGTGACCACAAAGACCAGTTAGATTATGGAGAAGAGGAATCCTTTCTTCACCACTGATGGAAGTGTAAGTGTAAACTATTGCAGCCAATATGGAGGTTCCTCCAAAAATTTCGAACTAGGGCTACCATATGGCTTAGCTGTGCTATTTTTGGGTATACACAGGGATATGTGTACACTCCTGTTTACTGCGGCTGCACTCATCACAATGTCTAGGAAACGGATGTACATCCACAGAAGCCTGCATAATGAAATTTTAAGGTTTCTGGATGGTGGAAGGAGGATATTGTATTAATAAGCTGCTCTAGTCACATGTTCTGTCTCATAAGAAAATCTAAACTTTTAATGCTTATATAAATGTAAATGCGCGGTTGTGAGGGTAGTGTAATCTATGAAACTAGACAGGCAGCTGGAAGAGGGGAACAAGAGGCAGAAATAATTAGAAGGATGGGGTGAAGGAAAAAGGTCACATGGGACTTGAAAATTGATAGGCGAATCTATTAGGGATGGAACAAGGGAGGATGGAGAAGAATTGATAAGATGGTAAAAGAAACGACAAAGGCGAATTTTCTTTGAAAAATGCCTAAATGAAGCCCAGTTCTTTGTAAACGAATGAAATGTTTTAAAAAGAAAGAAAGAAAGAAATTGCTTTGATTTTGAAAGACAGGGCTGAGCCTGTTGTTGGAGATCTCAGAGCAAGCTGTGTAGACGTCTTGTGCAACAGCCTAAATTCCACAGCAGGTGATGTCACCACAACTGTCCTATAAATGGAGCAAAGATTCAGGTGCATCTAAGCAATTTATCTGCACCAATACCCAGGACAACAGGAATGGCTTTCTCAGTTCTTCGACTGACTGTTGTACTGGGACTGTGTGCCCTAATCCTGACAAGCCAGGCAGGTAAGTGTTTCTGATCACAGCCCAGAAACTTGGGCATAGTTAGTGATGGGTGGAAACTGGCACAGAACATAAAAGGGGAGGGGCATTTTGGCATTGCAGAAAGAACCCTGGGCTGGGAGCCTGGAAACACATCTAATTCCGAAAGCAATTTTATTAAGCTTGATTTTGGTTGTATCCTCCATCTTAGTAAATATATGATGTTGTGAACGAGTCCTTTCTTATATTCTTAAATGATGAAGGGATGCTATTACATTATAAATTCATTGAGAAGTGTCTGTGGAGTGTTTTGATGATTATAACAAATAATGTTTAATGAAGATGAAAATATAATTTTCAATAGCACTCTATCATGGAAATATAAATTTATAAATGTATATTAGGCATAATATTTAATACCTCTAGATGTGGTACGAATAAGGAACATTAATTGCTGTTAATCTCATATGTATCATGAAATTTAAATAAAATAGGCAAAAGTTTGGAATAGTGCCTGGTCAACAAAAATCACTAAATAAATAATAAATGCTGCAGTTACCATTTATAAATTATTTTTAAGTTCAAGTTCAGTTTCATTAGAGTTTAAAAGAAAAACACCTCAGGCAGTTTGTATATCTCAGCACATATACATGTGTGTTTGTGCATGCACGTGTGCTTGTGTGTGTGTATCTTTGTCTACCTTAGATGAGGAAAAATAAGTAATGGTATTTGAGTTATTAGTATAGAGAATGGATACATGGTCGCAGGCAGACATGAGGCAGAGATGGGGCTTTTAAGAAAAAAAATTAATAAGACCAAAAGTATCAGAAAAACCCAAAGTGGTACAGAAAGTTGCAGGGTTAATACAGAGATAGGAGAAGATGAAAACTCTCACTTTCTGAGTACTTCAGACAATCTGGCAGACCGACAGCTGAACCAGCTGGGTATTTTGAACTACTGTGAAAACTTTAGATAAAAACTTAACCAAAACCAAAACTTTTATGTAAACCTTCATTATACATATGCTTTTGTTCTTTTAAGCCAGCATTTGTGACTAGTATCAAGAAAGCAGATTAATAAGAGAGCTCCACTGATTTAAACAGAAGTTTAATATCAACATGTTGAAATTTGACCTTAGAATATGTATATTCTAAGTTTCATCCTTTACATACCTTAAATAACTTACCCAGGTCCTCCATAACTTGCTTAGTCCTTTTGGCTTTCCTTCCCAAATCTGGAATCACACAAAATCATGATAGATTCTCATAATAATCTTACTCAATAAATGCACCATTTTCTTCGTTTGGTGCAGATTAGTAAACTAAGTTTGCAGAGGTAAAGGGTTTTTTGTTTTGTTTTGGTTTGGCTTTTAGTATAAGCACAAGCGAAAGTTCTCTGATGGTGAAATCTGAGTTTCTAGGTTCTTCCCATTGCAACTAAGCTTGTGTTTCTTTTGTAACACATGAAAGCACACAGAGGGCTGCAAGCAGCATGCAGCATTGTCATTTAGGAATTAATCATTTTGTCTGCAGAAGCTATGAATCTTTGTCTTGTGTCTGTTCAGGGTGCAGAAAGCAGAATGAGCAACCAGCCGCTCAGCAGCAGGTCCCTTTTCCTGTAAGGTAGCAGAACTCACAGTCCCAGGTCACTCATGGTACCCCAATAGGAAACGCAGATGAGGGATGCATAAGAACTCTGCCAGAGGGAGACATGGGATGTCTGTGTCCACCCTGCTTCCAAAGTTATCAACACAGTGAAGGGTGATATTTGCATTCTAAAGACAATTCTCATTCATCCCATAAATGTGAAACTGGTTAAATAAGTCCAGTTTTAGTTAATTTTCTCACCTATTTAATCGCATAACTCTTGATGTTACAGATAAAATGAGCATGCTTTTATAATCACTTTGTAAGATGTAGAAATCTATATAAATAAAAATGTTGTATTTGTTCAGAATTTTATAATCACATTCAATTAAAAAAGTCAGTAGAAATCTTAATGCAATAAATGCTACTTTGTGTTATGTTTTAAAAGAGGAAATATTTAATAATGGACCTTGATGATTTGAGATTTCTGGGTATTCCAATAGCATTTTAAATTTTCATAATATTCTAAAATGCTAGAGGAAAATCGAGCTACTTATAATTCTGTTGCTGTTAATAATAGTAATACTAATATACTAATAGTGCCGTAAATCAATTAGTGTGAGATTACCCTGGGTTTAGTTCTGTGATAAGTAGTTTATACACCGTGGATATATATCTATACACACATTGTAGCATGAATATTATATACAATACTTTTCTTTGTACCAATATCACAATGAAGAAACTAAAAGACAGTGGTTAAATGTGATTTGCAAAAGTACGTGGCTAATATTTTGTTGAAAACAAAAACAAAATCAGATTGTAGGACCTTAAAATGTGTAGCACACTACATAATAATACCTATGAATATGTATATGGACTAAAGACTAGACTGATTCTTGACTTCCCATACACTAATCCCCGGATCCTCTGGTATTAAAAAGCTAGTATTTAGTATTACATTAAAATGAATAAAACTGTTATATGTTGCCAAAGAGGACTCTTCCTTTGTGTAGGGACTTTCTGTGTTACACTTGGCTGGTATCCCTGGAGAACCAGTCTAAGGAGGGAGAGCAATACAATATGAAGACCATGCCCCTGGAGTTAGACAGAACTCAGGTTCATTTTCTGGCTCAGCTGCTTTTTACTGAGTTGTTGAACTTCCCAGAGCATTTCTGTTCTCCTCTGGAAACTGTGACTCCATGACTCAGTGGGATGAGGACACAGGTCTGTAAGGATGTCCTAGTCCAGCATCTGTTTCTTCTCACAATGAAAATAAACCCATTCCAGGAACTTTAATCACACAGACCTCTATGTGAGGATCATCATCTTTAGTTTAATTCAAGCAAGAAGGTTCTTTATATACTCTACTCGTAAAGAAACCAAACCAAAGCAAAATGTGTTCTAATGAAAAATTCAACTGTTGGATGAATGAATCTTTGATTATCATCTCTTATAAATCCCAGGCTAAAGAGCCTGTTAAGCCTTTGACTATGATATAATAAATATCAATGCTTACAGAATTTATTGTCATTTTTTCTAATAATTCTATCTTAGAATACATCATAGATAACACATTTCTTTCATCATTTGGTAGCCCTGAAAGTGATGTGGTTACATGACCTTCACCTGAGTCTAGGGGAAATAGTGCTAAGGAGTTGAGACCTAATGACTCAAAACCTGTAGTGGGGAAGCAGTATAGATATGGAACACTTTTGTGAATTTGAATTTTCAAATTAACAACCAATTATGGCTATTGTGAGTCTATCCGAGATATCACGTTTATCAGTCTTAACTTTAAAATAATCTAATGTTCAACTGACATCAAATAAGGAATCCAGTATTTTTAATTAATTAATTTTTAAAATAACAATCTTTTCTTATTTTACATACTAATCCCAGTTCCCACTCCCTTCCTTCCTCCCACTCTCTCCACCTTCTCTGCACTCCACCCCCCCATCCATTCCTCAGGGAGGGTAAGGCTTCCCATGGAAAGTCAACAAGGTCTAGCACATAGCTTTGAGGCAGGACCAATGCCCTCCCCACTGTATCTAGGCTGAGTAAGGTATCTCTCCAAGGAGAATGGGTTCCAAAAAGTCAGTTCAGGCATCCATTATTTTTATATAGAGTTTGGTGGCACCATAGTTCTGTTAATAAAATGAAAAAAATAAAGTCCTGCATCATCTTATTATCAGGATTCAGAAAGAAGATTACACGCTGTAGTTTATATCACTCTACTTGAACTTTTCATCTCATGAATGAAGACCATTCACACCCAAGGGACACGTGTGCATCCTTCAGCTATGAAGGATAAGGTACACGACTCCTATAGGCACCATGCTCTCGTGGTTTGCATAGCCTTCTGGTTCCTAAATATTATCAGTTTATCCATCTACTAAGCTAAAATTTGCATATCTTAAAATATTACCCAGGTATAAAAATTACACAGGATTCGTAAAAACCATTGTTCATAAAACTAATAGGTGATACAAAACTGACAGAAATTATTTATCATTTATCTTCCATTTTCTCTCATAAATATAGTTTGCATACTTTTCCTAAAAAGAGCACATAATTTTATCACAGACTACTGTAAAAAAATCTCAATTTTGATATCAGACAAACATGATCCTGGATTGTATTTCTATCACCTGGCAATTCTTCATCTTTGAAACAGCTTTGAAATTTCTGTCCAACTCTACTTCTTCAAGTTTAAATTGGCTTAGCAATTTTCTTACCTCAAAGAATTATGAAGATAAAAATAACACAGTGCATGTGAACTACCTGTTAGAGATATGTGCCCAGCAGAACTACCCATGAAGATTTTCATCTTCCTTATTTATATTACCATTGTGTGCTTTGCTTGCTTGGTAATCAAATGTAGGCATTGTCTACTTAGATATTTATGTCTGTTATTTGTATGTTTTTAGTAATAATTAGATCAAGACTTCAACCAAACAAGTACAGGACGCTTAGGGACAGGAAGATGAAACTAAGGAGTTTGTGCCAAGTGGATACCAAGGAACTCAACAGATCCAACACCAGAAGCAGATTTTTCTTTTGGATTGCAAGGAATCACATTTGAAAGTCTTTTATGTTAATTTTTTTTCAGATGACAAACCAGATGAAGAAGGCAACCCAGATGAGAAAGCAGATAACCCTCCAGATGACTCCAGTAAAAAATCAGAGGGAGATTTCCCCAAATTCTTAAGCCTCCTGGGTTCAGAGATCATTGAGAACGCAGTGGATTTCATCCTTCGCTCCATGTCCAGGGGATCGTAAGCAATGAGATAAATCTCACTTTTGCCAGCTTCTGTAGAAAATTAGTACACTCAAGAAAATAAATGAAATAGAAAAAAATGCACTCATTTTTTTCATTGAAACAAAAACCATTGCCCTGCCTTAAGTTACATTTTACATGGAAATAAGTGCCCTGAAATCTAGAGTGAGGTTACTCCCTCAAGATTCTTTACACAATATTTTAAAATCCCGGGGCTATAATAGGAGAGCAGAAGGATGCAGAACCAAGAAATGGAAGAGAAGTTGTGGTCTTGATAATGAATGTGCAGAGTCCTGTATTTGGCTTCTAGTTGGAGCAGTTCAGCCCACTTCTTAATAAGCCTTAGATTTAACATATCTTGCATTTGATTTGACTTCTCATTCTTCATACTTCTTTCAGTCTGCACTGCTGCAGGCTGCTGTTTTTGATTCATTTTACATAGATACCTGCAGAGAGTTTGACAAAACTCTGATTTATTACCTACACAGTGGATAATTGTGTTTGAACTAGACCTCCTTCATCTACAATATAGCTACTCACGGGCAAGGCTAAGAGTGCAGTTTTAAACAAACTTTCTAATTAATTCTGACACAAAGCCACCTAACCAGGTGCTTATCTACAGTAGTAAGTCATGACTGTTCTGGAAACTAAAACTAGCTCAAGATAAAGTAATTAACCTCTGAAATTGTGATATTCTATTATCTCCACAATACTCAATTCTTTTTTCTACTTTTTTAATTTATTGTTATACATTTTTCTCTGTTTCTTTATGTTCCTCTCCCCTCCCCTTCAGCCCTCTCCCATGCTCCCAATTTGCTCAGGATATCTTGTCTTTTACTACTTTCCATGAAGATTAGATCCATATATGTCTATCTTAGGCTCCTCATTGTTGTTTAGGTTCTCTGGGATTGTGATTTGTAGGCTGGTTTTCTTTGCTTTATGTTTAAAAACCACTTATGAGTGAGTATATGAGATAATTGTCCTTCTGGGTCTGGATTACCTCACTCAGTATAATGTTTTCTAGCTTCATCCAATTGCCTGCAAATTTCAAGATATCTTTATTTTTCTCTGCTTTGTAGTACTCCATTGTGTAAATGTACCATGTTTTCTTATCCATTCTTTGGTCAAGGGGCATTTAGGTTGTTTCCAGGTTCTGGCTATGACAAACAATGCTGCTATGAACATGATTGAGCACATGTCCTTGTAGTACGATTGAGCATCCTTTCGATATATACCCAAAAGTGGTATTCCTGGGTCTCAAGGAAGGTTGTTTCCTAATTTTCTGAGAAATTGGCACACTGACATCCAAAGGGGTTTCACCAGCTTGCACTCCCACCAGCAATGCAGAAGTGTTCCATTTTCCCCACAACCTCTGCAGCATAAGTTGTCATTAGTGTTTTTGATCTTGGTCATTCTTACAGGTGTAAGATGGAATCTCAGAGTTGTTTTAATTTGCATTTCTCTGAAGACTAGGGATGTTGAGTATTTTCTTGAGTGTCTTCAATCATTTTAGATTTCTCTGTTAAGAGTTTGCTGTTTAGGTCTGTATTCCATTTATTATTGGGTTATTTGTTCTGTTGATGATTAATATTTTGAGCTCTTTGTATATTTTGGAGATCAGATACCTTTCTGATTTGGGGTTGGAGAAGATCTTTTCCCATTCTGTAGGCTGCCATTTTGCCTTGTTGACCATGTCCTTTGCTTTACAGGAGCTTTTCGGTTTTAGGAGTCCCGTTTATTAAATTTTTCTCTCAGTGTCTGTACTGCTTGGGTTATATTTAGGAAATGTCTCTTGTGTCAATGCATTCAAGTGTACTTCCCACTTTCTCTTCTATGAGGTTCAGTGTGGCTGGCCTTATGTTGAGATCTTTGATTCATTTGGACTTGAGTTTACAATACTCAAATTCTAATCAGTCAGTCTCTGCAGACACAGATTCCTTTTGGAAGTTTTAATCCAGAGCCAGATACAGTTTCGTGTCAGAAGTGGTCATTCTCAATATGAACCTGTAGGACAGGCCCCCCCCCTATTTGTTTTAAATGGCCTGTTCCTGAACATGTCCCTACTCTCCATTAGACTACAGACTAATTAAAAACAATGTATTTGCATCATCTTTTATCTTCTCAAAATCTATCCTGGTTCCAAACCTATGAGTTATAGAGCATAGTGTGCCTGACATATTTTCATTACTCTAGAGAATTTGGTTTGGAACTTTGCGATCCACCATACATTTGTTGTGAAAATGTGGTGTCATCTTTTTTTTTTTTTTAGTTTTTTACACATGTGAAAGAATTATAAATATTACTAAAACAAATGCACTCAAATTCATATTGTTTGTTAAATCCTGTTTTATGTGTTAGCATCATATATATGTGTGTATGCATAGCTAACACATACAGATACATATTTATATACACAATGCATAATACTTATAGGGTTTTGTTTATTAAAAGACCAATAACTGATAGGTTTGTTACTGAGTTCAGTGCTAATCATGCCCAAATACTTTGACAAGTGTAAACTATTGTGGAAATCTTGAGTCTTACTTTACTTTCTTATAGCAACATCCGGAGAATAAAATTATACCTCAACTACGAGAAAGCTTAGTTCTAGGCACAGTAGCAGAGGCTTGTAACCCAGACTTCCTGAGAGATGAGGCTGGAGGATCACAAGTGTGAGGCTAGCCTAGGGAACAAGGCGGGAGGGGGACTTGATTGGGGGAGAGGGAGGGAAAGGGGAGGCGGTGGTGGGGAAGAGAGAGAAATCTTTAATTAATTAATAAAGAAATAAATAAATTAAAAAAATAAAAAAGGAACAAAATAATGAAAATAAAAAAATTCAAATTGAAAGAAATTAGGGGAAATGAGACAGTGTAATAGTGTGATCTTGTTAACATTCCCATAAGTCTGTATAACTCCTGCTTTTTTTCTTCTCTTTTTCAAGAAGCTTTATGGAACTTGATGAGGACCCTGGACAGCCATCTTCAAAAGTGACCTCCTAAGGTGATTTTAACTAATACTTTACAGGCAAAATAACAGCATTTTAGACACGGAAAATAGGGGTTTGGATAACTATATTCATCGATTTTTGGGGACTCATTAATAATTACAACCAGAATGATAGGGTTTTGTTGTTGTTGTTGTTATTGTTATTCCTTCTTTGTACTAATTGTAGTTTGTTTCTAAAATTACACTGAAGTGTCCATATTGTTGTTTTGTTTGTCAGCTTACCGAGAGGCTCTTAAGGGAGGAATCCAAGTGTTGCATGAAGCATTGAGCAATGGGAAGGAGGAGGTCTGGTCCCTGCCACAGTTCTCTTTAGAACCTGCCATTAGATTTCCATCCCCTCTACAAATACATGACATAATCAGGTTATAAAGAGAAAGCATTTATTTTGACTCGTGATTTTCAAGGCTTCCTTTTCCAATGTACTGGTGTCATTGCTTTGGGCCAATTGTGAGGTAGTAAGTACATCATATCAAGGGCCTATGGACCCCTCACCTCATGGTCAAGAAGAGAAAGAGGAGCAAATCAGAGTCCCATAATGACCTTCCCATCACACACCCAAGGCTAAAGTCTTTCCACAACCCCTAATAGCACTGAGCTAGGGAATCAAGACTTTCACACCTAGGCCTTTTGGAAGGGGGATTATTCAACATCTAAACTCTAGCTTGCTTTGTACAAATCCACCTGTGAAATAAGAGAGCGGTGCACACTTAAAAAATAAAACTTCTAAGAACTCATGCAATTATGCAGTAAGTCAGTCATAGGAAGAGTGGAATTTGCTGCACTTAATCCATGGAGAAAGCACTAGAAATTTCCCTGTCACCCATACAGACATCTAGCATACCTGTAAACCATATGGTTTGAATTCCAGAACACCCACTCTTCCCTTACTCAATTATCTCCTGAGAACTCAGGTTGAAATAGAAAAACAAACATCATACAGACGGAAAAGCAGTATCAGTTCCTGAGTTGAAATGAGTTACTGCTCCATTTTAAGTGCTGGATAGATACCTAATTTATAGCTTCTGTAGAAGACAAACATCATTATCTTAAGTCTCACAAGTGAAGAAACAAAAGCATGGAAACAGTTGTGGATATGGTCATATCAAGGGAGCAGGAAAAGACTGGAACTGAGTCCCATGCCAGGATATGTGTCCTATATCTGAGCCATTTATCACTGCTGGAGAGCAGAGGATGGCATATGAGGAAGCAGCTGGAGTCATGATTCAACCATGATGCTTGCTAAAACAAAACTCCTCCCTCTTGGTTAGTTGATTTGCTTTCTGTACACCTCCAGCAATCATGGCCTTTCTCAACTTCTCTTGTTATCGAGGCTGGGAAAGTTTCTTTACTCTTCTGGCTCTGTTTCATAACTTAGGTGTGGCCAATGTGAGCTCAGAAAGTCACTATTAGATTACCCTAGAGCATAGCCTACTCTTTCATGAGCTTTGAAGGATGGAAATAAGGCTTGGGTATTGTAATCAAGATATGCCCAACGCACATAATCCTGATTCTTGCTCAAAGCCAGATTGACATCTAAAACCACTCACTTGTGTGTTCATGTTTCCATCTACTCCTCAGGGAAGAGCTTTCCTCCTGTTTTAAGCACCCTAATACTTTGTCTTCATCCAGGCTGCTACTGTATACCTGTAATCATTTATGCCCATATCCCAAATCCTGACAGGGCCAACCGGGGATTCAGTGTAGAAGATATAATGTAGATGAGGCATTATGGAGGAAGAAAAGATCAGTTGACATCATGATGGTACAAGGTCAACCTGTACTGAGGACACCTGCTGTCTGTGCCTCCATGGATCGATGACCCCACCTCCTTAAGCCTCATTTTTCTGCTTTTGAATTAGAAACACTAGAGGAATGTAAAGATTCCGGAATTTAATGGAAGGATTCCCTTTTTTAGCTACCCACAAAATAACATCTTGAAAAGATAGATTTCTGAATAAACTCTAGCTGCCTTAATGATCCATAGAAAATGGTTCAATATGGACCAGGTGTAAAAGAATTTTGATATGGAATGTCTCTTTAAATGACCACGACATAATCACTGTGGATAGCCCTTAATAGGTAATTGAAGTTTTGTTTCTACGGTTAATGTCTTATCTAATCAAAAGCAAGTCATCACTTTACAATGAAGTGATTCACAGTAATGTCTGTTTCTCTATTTCAGAAAATGTGACCAAAATATATGTATAGATTAGGGGGGCTGGAGAGATAGCTCAGCAGTTTGAGTATTTACTGCTTTTTCCAAGTTCTCATTTGCTTCCCAGCTCCCATGTGGGGCCTCTTACAACTGCCTGACTTTCCCTCCAGGGCAGCCAAGAACTCTACCCTCACTGAACACATGCATGCACACACAGAGAGAAAAACACTTGCATATTAATAAGGAATAAGATAATTTTTAAAGATATATAATTAATGATAATTGATGGAGGATCAATATGTGTCCTATGTTTATTTTAGTCATGTATTTGGTACCATGTTTGTAGCACTCGTCACCTCTTTGACACACTCCCTTAATGAGTAGTACTCTATTCTAATTATGTGTTAAACTTTGTGCATGCTGCCTTTGGGAAGGTCATCATCTGAACTATCACTGAGTTCAGTGTACCCTGAGAATGTGCAGGTAAATGATAGGTACCTATGGTAGGGCTAGGGGAATGTCTTGGGAAAAGGCAACAAGGAACCCGAGGAGGAGGGGTGAGCATGATGAAGGCTTTACAAAGAAAGTGAACTGGGCTAAGTCAATATCAGGGGATGAAAAGAGAGTAGTACAGAGATCAGAAGATGATGATGCTCCAGCAAGTGAACACCTCGTTAATCTGAGGCACCCTCATCCTCAGCTACCCTACACTGATGTGACTCCCACTAGGCATAGGGTTTCCAAAAAAATTTAACTATTTCCCAGAATTACTTGAAGCCACTTGGATTCAATTTGTTCCTTTTTATTTCTTAATTCATTTGATATAGTTGACTCTAAACTGTCTTTTCTCCAAAAAAAAAAATAGATAAACCTCATTAGATAACTAAGATCTTCAGAAGAAACAGTGAATGAGAATGTCCTTTACTAATTTTTATTTTTATGAAGATTACTTTTGTTAAGAATACACACACACACACACACACACACAGTCTTGTGTTTAGATTTACGATGTCGTACCTAAAAATAAGTAAATTAAATGGAAAGTTCTGCTGCAACAGATGATCAGAATTAAAGTTGGGCACACTCTGCCACTTTCCAGGTCAGCTTGCTCTCCACCAATGATAAGATAAAATGCATGTGACTGCTGTGTCTTTTGCATCTGCCAAATACCAGGCCACAGTGACTTCTCTCTTCGTCCTTGACTTTGTTCTGCATGCATTCCATCATTTGGTGCTAAGCTATTGCTTATAGACCTAGAGATTTTGGGTGTGTGTTTCTGTAATTTTGTTTCACTACTTTCTCAAACCTGTTTGACAGCTGAATTTACTATAAATCCCCCCTTGCTTTCAAGTGCAGAAGCATTAAAATTTTAAAGAAAAGGTAGAAAGTATTCACTTTGTTGCTAAGTTAGAATATTAATTATTGGTCTTTGTAAACTTGTGTTTTAAAGGGCACACCCATCTGGCAGCTGGACAAAATAAGGACAGCCAGATCCTGAACATCTAGTTCTGTTTTACAAACTCGTCCAGAACCTGAGATATCAATGCAGCTCCCAGCAAGTCACCAGGAATGAATCCCCAGTTTTAGAAAAATATAATCCATTCCAGCTCTTTGACCTTGCCTTTCTGTCTCTACAAAGTCAGAAAAAGGACCCTTTTAGAGTTCTAGCATTACATACTTGACTTTATGGAGATTTTTGTTGTTCCTGGCAAGTTTCCCTGGCATATTTAACTTTGTAATGAAGCAAAAAAATGAGATGATACATTGCTTATACATATGTACATAAGCAAATTCAAGGCTTCTTTGTATATACAATACACATATATGGTAACAGATTCTAAAAGACGAAGTAACACATTTAAAATTTAAAAGCCAGTATGTAGTAGAAAAGGGACTTAATTCTTGCTTCAAAAATAAAGTTTTTAATATCTAAAGATATATGAAGTTTCAATATTTTACACATTTTTTTTAAAAAAAGTTTTTCTTTCAAAATATCTAAGTCCCAAGTCCTTTGTTAGTAAACTCAAAACTGATCTACTGATGGTCCTCTTTTCATTCAAATGTCTGTTTCTCTTCCACGGTCATTATTCTTCTGCTAGAATGTCAGGCATTGAGGAGGGAAGAGTTCCTGAACCAATGAGTGTGGCCTCTTTACAGTTCACAGAGCTCACTTCAGTGCACAGAGCTAAGTCCTCAACAGCCATAGCAGCCAACTCGACAGGCACTTTCTCCCAGAACCATCTACTAAGTCAAGAGGACACGATTGAAGTCGTGGAGCAATGTGATCATGGCCACACTGGAGTCTAGAACACACCTTCATTCTGTTTCCACTCTTCAGGTCAACATATTTGCCCCGGGTCCTTCTCAAGCACTGCTCCTATTTCCAATCCCACCCTGAATGCGGTCATTGTATTTTCGATGATAGCTATTTCTTGACAATCTTGCTGTTTTTATTTATCTGTGATAGATTTGCATACAGCACAAAGAACCTTTAATGATATTGATGAATAAGCCATGGACTGAATATTGAACCAGTGGAAAATAAAAATGAACGTTGTATTTTACAGCGAATTGAGATAGCCCATTCTTTGCATCTTTTGGAGAATGGCATCAGTTTCAAATATCACACCCATCCTAGGTTATCAAAATATCTATTAAACTCAGCATTTGACAGACAGTTAGAATGCTTCTGTGAACCAATTGTGTTCCCCAAATCTCTTTTCAGGGTGTTGGTTTGTTTTGTTTTGGTGGGGACACATTATTTGTTTGTAGTACTGTGGATTGAACCCAGAGTCTTTTATAAGCTATGCAAATGTTCTTCCACTGTGTGTGTGTGTATGTGTGTGTGTTTGAAACAGAGAGAGAGAGAGAGAGAGAGAGAGAGAGAGAGAGAGAGAGAGAGACAGAAACAGAGAGACAGAGGGGAAAGTGGGGGAGGAGAGAGAGAGTGAGGAGAGGTCATGAAGCGGGGAGAACAAGAACAAGAGAGCAAGAGCTCACATGCACCTGTGTGGGCACCAGGAGCTGCTCATTGCAAGGAGACCAGAGGAGACTATACACCAGTATTCTCTATTTCTATCAGTCTCTGCTTTGTCTCTTTGAGACGGGGTGTCTCCTGGACCCTGGAACTTGAGTGTTTTGGCTGCTTGACAATCAACAAACCAATGCGAGTCTCTTGTCTCTCCCTACAATGCTGGGGTTGGAAGGCCTGGACAAGACCACTCCCAACATGCCACTTGGGTGCTGGGATCCAAACTCATTTCCTGACTGTTGTACACCAAACACTCTTAGCCACTGAGTTGTGTCCTTAGCCCCTTTTAGACTTTAATTCACTAATTTGTACCTGTGTGATTTTACTACAACAAATCAATATAATACCCATGTAAACAACTCACTTCTGTCTTGCATTTTGAACAGACTCTCTCCAGATGGTACTGGAAACAGGAACAGATACAACCAGGAGATCACAAAAGAAACACACTATTCATATGAAAAAAAAGTTTTTGGGTATTGTTGGAGAGTAGGGGAAAAATAGTAGCAGAGGTTGAGAAGAGAAAATGTTCTGCAAAGAACAGAGAATTTCCAGAGTTCTTGGACTGCAACTGCTTAGCCCTACTGCAAACCCAGTGTTGACGTTGTTCCTGTTCCTATTTATTTATAGTTACATTTATTTTCGCACAGTTGCATTCTCCACATATTCTTCACATAGCTGCATACCTTCACACTTTTTTACATAGCCACATGTCTCTCTACATAATTACATTCTCCACACACACATATTTTTCCCTCACATATACATCTCATATATATATATATATGTATACATATACATATATATATATTCTATATAGCTACATCTCCTCACACTTCGTATATCTCTCATATTTCTCTCTCTGAACACTCAACTACATCTCCCTTTCAGCACACACATACACAGAGAGACACACAGACACTTTTCTCATGTTTCTCTTCCTCTATAGCACAAATACAAGTCACGTTTTCAGGGTCACACTGCACTGGAATGCGGTTGATAGACTCACTGACATTCCACTGGTTAAAACCATTTTCTCTTTCCCCACATATATCAATTACAAGTCAATTCTTGGTTAGGAGTTATACTTTGTGTATACTTCATATTCTCTATGTAGGGATTTCTTCTGGTTTGAACGTGTGCAGGTTTTGGGCTTGCTGCCACAGTCTTTGTGAGTTTCTAGGTGTGTCATACCTATGTTTTGAGAGATAGAAGTTTAAATGCCAGATTATTGAGTTAAACCTTAGAAGGGACATCTCTTGGAGTTAGTTGTCAGGCAAGTAACTAAATCTCTTCTCAAAAAAGAGAAAAAGACCAATGATAGATTTCAAAGTTGAAAACAAGGAGAGTCTGTGGCACACTAAGACTCCATACAAAGTGAGAGGAGGAGACTCAAGTTTAGAATTCTGGGGAAATTGTTGGGAAAATCAGAAAATAAGAACAGAAAATAAGGAAAATAAATTTCTTTAAGGAAATGGAAATAAATGATCAAATAGAAGTAAAATAGGTGAAAATAAATAGTGAGCAAAACTTTAAGTGTAATAGAAGTATGTCAGGTAATAATTACCTTGAAGTATAAAGAAATATGTTATATTGATTCATAAGTATATGATACATGTAGTTCTTACTGAGGAACTATGTAATATATCCATTCCAAAATATGTCACTAGTGATCAGTCCTGACTGCCTTTGAACAGTAAAAAGAATAATTGAAAATGATATGCATCACCTTCGGGTGGAAGTTTTTAAAAAATAAACATACTTTAAAATTTTTATATATGTGTAGTGTATTTACATCTCCCCCTTCTCCTCCCTCCAACCTTTCCCATCCCTGCTCCCTCTCAAATTCTTGGTCTTTTTCCTCAATTAGAAATTTTAAGAATCATCCCGCCGAGAGGTGGTGGCGCACGCCTTTAATCTCAGCACTCTGGAGGCAGAGGCAGGCGGATCTCTGGGAGTTCGAGGCCAGCCTGGTCTACTAGAGCTAGTTCCAGAACAGGCATCAAAGCTACAGAGAAACCCTGTCTGGGGGTGGGGGAGTAGTGGGGAGCCCACCTTTAATTCCAGTACTGGGGAGGTGAGGGTAGGCAGATCTCAGNGTAGTGGGGAGCCCACCTTTAATTCCAGTACTGGGGAGGTGAGGGTAGGCAGATCTCAGAGTTCCAGGACAGCCTGGGCTATTCAGGGAAATCTTGAAACCCTGTCCCAAAATAAAATAAAATAAAATAAAAGAATCATCCCATAGTTTTGCCAGTTTGTCTTTCCCTGAGACTATTGTGGTCTCAAATGCTGAAGAAAGAATTCAGCTAATGTGTGTTAGACTAGTGTCAATACTTGGCCATATACTGTGAGTCAAGGACACTAGGATTTGAAGCTGCTCATTACTGCAACTAGCAATCTAATCTGTTCTCACAGATTTGGACAGGTGAGAAAATGAAACAGGAAACGCCACCAGTTGCTACTACAAATAACCCTGACTCCGTGATTTTCCTACTTTACAATAGTACAGAGGCTTTCCATAGAAATGGCATTTCAAACTATTAACTTGAGAGACCAACATTAAGAATAAGATTCTCTCTAATCATCCTGGGCAATGGTATCAAGCCACAGCTTCTGGACAGCTACACGGTGACAAAGGTACACACTGGCATTCTACACTGTCCTGTGAGGCCAAGATACAGTGTTCAGTAGGCTGGGAGTACTTGGTGTTCTTTTTTTTTCACAATGGATTTATTATGATATAAACCCATACCGAGTCAAGAACTAATCTGTACCTTTTTTAAAAAAAGAAATAAAGAAAGAAAAATAGTCAGGAAATCAAGATATCTTATTATTATTGTATTGGTCAAAAATCCAACTAGAAAATAGAAGTTAGTCTTAAGTGCTTAGACTATATAAAACATAATCCAAGAAGTTGATTAAGATGTTAGAATTGACTGAGGAATGACAGAAGAGCTTAAAATCTTGTATTAGGAAGAAAAGCTAGAAACTGACAAGACGAAAAGTCACAATCTGCAATCAAATAATCAGAGTCCGACTGGAGTCTCCTGGCAAAATTGGGATTCATTGCAGTCCTGACCCCTAACACCTAGAACCTTGGATGTGGTGCTCTCACTTCCAGAGACTTCCACTAATGAAAAGCAAAGGGAGCCACATCAGACAGTAGGTTTCTCTTTCTTCAACTCCGGTCAACTGTCCAAAGCCCACTTACCTGTGAACCACAGAAACTAGATCTGTACCGATCAACATTCTATTTGCCTTCTTCCTTAAAAGAAACCAGAGTAGAGGAAGGACAAAGAAACATGTCTGACAGCAAATGGGTCTAAGAACTGTGATAGGCCCAAGAACGCAGAAGACAGTAATACCCTCCATAGGAACAAACTTGATTTTTCATGAAGGTCTATTAACATGAAAGGTTTATGTGTCTGGGACTGGAGGAGACACATAAAAATGATAATGATGAGATTGGACGCTTGAGCAAAGGCAAATCATTAATAGCCCAGTGTGTCACGCACAGAAGTTTGACATCTATTCTGCAGGACTTTATAACATGAGCAAAAATTCTGTCTTGGAAAGGGAAGTTCAATGTTGTCACGGATGCTAGATTTAACAGAAGAAATAGATAAGTTATAAATAGTTTGCATGAGGATTATATAGTAAAGGCTTGACCTGATGGAAGGCACATAAATCTAATGGATGATCTAAATGTAGCTAGAGACTTAATAGAATTGACATCATGGGATTATAATGACATCAGCGTGGTCTTAGTCTCATCGAACATTACTTGATTTTTTTTCATTTTTAAATGCAACTTTTTAATGAGAGACTAAGAAGATGATGAATCTAGAAATATGAATATATAACGAATGGTAGGGAATCGAGATGTTTAACATACAGATAAGAAAAAGTAATGAGTATATTCTTCATATGCTAAACTATCTGTCCCATAACAGAGTCTCTAGAGACTGTGACCCAAGAGGAAAACTGTCTAGTTAAGTTCCAGAATGAACACAGGTGGAGTCCCTGATCTTTTCATTGCTTTATTCATTCTCTTCTAGACTCACTACACTTTAGGACATTCACTCTCCAATGGCAGAATGAGATTCAGCCAGCTGGGATGTGCGCATCCTTCTCTGTCTGCTCCCATCTTTACACCAGGTGTGATAGGGCCTCCTGGAAAACAGAAGCACAAAGATAAAGAAGCCAGGCCTAGCTTACATGTAAGTAGAAAATTTTAAAAATATTCACTTTTACTTTCCTATTTGACAACATTTTGCTGATGTTGAAGTAAAGACTCAGTATGCCTTATCAAGGGTCCCAAAGCTGTGCAATTAGGTAAAGTCATGACTTGTTCTGTTCAAATGTTCTTTCTATAAATACATATATTTTGCTTTCTGAAGTCTCTGGAATATGCATACTTCATGAATATAATCAATGAAATAAAAATAATGTACTTATAAGTAATGAGAGAACATTCATGTAGCTAAGGTTTCTCCCATGGAACAAATGCCTCCCCCATCCGAGTCGTCATTACCAGAAGCTTCTTCACAGACTCTGAAGCCTCGGGCCCCAGTTCATCCACACACTTCTTCAGCCCTTGCACCAGATGCTCTACAGAAATGCCCAGGGTTTTCAGAAGCATCTTCAAAGGGTCAAATAAGGGAATAAGGTTGTCGACGGGAACAGGTAGAGGGACACTGTTGATGAGGAAGGCCGTGGCTGCAGAGCAAAGGAGAACAGAATGAAAGATGGTAAACA